TGAAAACTTAAATTCTGTAGAAGTGGATGGCTTCAACTCCTTCTCTTGCTAGGAAAAGTTTTCTAAAAGCCAGTAGTAAGTAGGATGTATGATTTTAAAACCTGGAAAGTTAGGATTAATTTTGCAATTAAGATTTACCCAGATACTGGTTTGCTCTTCACAATTAAGAGGATTGTTTTTCGCCTTCATGAAGGAACTGTTCAGTTACATCTACTACAAAAAGATCTTTTCTACTGATGACAGAGAAAGTTCATCTCCACCATAGAGCTATGTCTAGTTCTGTAGTGAGAAAACAGATTTATTAAACTCATATTGACAGTGCATTAAAAGATTGTATGGAAGTCATTTCCACATGACCTAACACAATAGTAGAGTACAGAATATGAAGTTAACATTCTGCTTGATAGTAATAATGCATATACATATGTAGCTATCTTCACCATGCTTTACAAAGTAATTTGTTATCCCAGTGTCATTGTCACCTTTGGCACAATGTTTTTGTATCCTTCTAACTTTGATATTGTAATACATTCAAAATCTTAAAAGTCAGATGATGGGGGACAGGTTATCTGAAATGGAGATCTAGGTCTAACCAGATCTCAGGACAGTATCAGTACAGCAGTGTTCACATATTCAACCTTCTGACTGCACCTATGCACAAGTTAAGAGTCCACTTGATTAACTCTGTTGCCATGAGTTATATGAGGATTAGTAAGAATTACCAGTGATGGCGAGGAATCAGGCTTGCAGAATAAAGACAGTGATGGGTGGGGAAAACAAGAGTTTCCAGGCAAGTCAATGCAGCATCAGATCACCTGGAATACCAGCAGTTTCCTAGGGGGCCTGCTATTACAGCTACCTTCCCTCAGGTCATCATTTTTCTTGTTGGGATGGTGGCAGCATTTTGTTTTCTGGGGTCTCATCTAACAAGCCTGGCACCTGCGCATGGAAAACGGCTCCCAGTCGCTCGTCGACTTCTGCCTCCTCCCTAAAAACGCACCAGAGCAGCAGCCCTATCCCTAGCAGGCTGACCGGCAGCACTTTCACCCAGGGTCTCCGATAGTCACTTCCCATGGACCTGTCCACAGACCAGACCCGTGGGCTGGCTTTGCTGGTGGAGAAGGGGATGGGCCTAGAGCTCTCAGACTCCGCTACATCCTCGGGCCCCGGTTGCCGACTGAGACGTCGCACTGGACAGACGAGACAGGAGAGCGGGCGCGGCCTGGAAGGAGAAAAGGAAGAATAAACGCGACGTAAAGCGAGTCACAGGCCCGTCTCCTCCACGGGCGGGATCCGCCCCAGGAAAGTCCCACACGGAGCAAGCCCGCGCCACCTCTCACCGCCAGCCCCACAGGATCGCGCGGCTCATCCCGGACCACCACCGCCAGCCGTCACGTCCGGTGTAGTGGAGAAGTCTGCTGGGCTTAGTAATGTGCGACTTGCTGCGTACTGAGCATGCTCAGTACAGCTGCTGAAGCCACTGCCCTTCTCCCTGCCCTTATGAGCCGTAGGATTCTGCGGGTCGCGTTTGCGAGTTATGTTCTCTCGGGGCGCCTGGGCTCCAGGAATATTCAGGGCTGGGGGCCCTCCGCCACCGAGATTTGGAGCTGGGTCTCTCCCCCAGCCCTGCCTGGAGCGTCCCTGCCGAGTGAAAGCAGCGCCCGGCTCGCCCTTGCCTGTTGCCTGCCTGGGCTGCTGGGGCACAAGAGCAGCTTGGCAGGCTGAGACAGCACCTCAGCGGGACGGGGAGGCAGCACACATGAGGGGGCTTCCGGCCAAGAGACATCTGGAGTGGACCTCACTCACCTGAGCAGCCGCTGGGGCTTCGGTGAGTGTTTGACCCTGTGATTCCCCTCCCCGTTCCTGCCCCACGCTGGGCAAGGGGCAGCCCAACCCCCAGTGAGGCTACGGTGAGGGGCAGGAGGCTGCAGCAGGGGAGGAAGGCAGCCACACGTGATGGCAGTCCCCTCCCCCCCAGCACCCACCCACCACAGGGGAGATGGGGGGGGCTTCCTAGACCTGAGCAGCTGGAGCTTGGGTGAATTTTGTGACACCCTGCCCCGCCCCCCCCCAGCCACCACTCCTGCCCCACACTGGGCAAGGGGCAGCCCCATCCCCCACCCCCAGTGAGGCTATGGTGAGGGGCAGCAGCAGGGGAGGCCACACGTGATGGCAACCCCCACCCACCAGGTACCCACCATAGGGGAGGAGAGGGGGCTTCCTGGACCTGAGAGGGGCCCTAGGAGCATGTGCAGTGACAGTGGTGCAGAGTGAGTGTGCTGGGGGGGGGAGAGGAGGGGTCCCTCCCCCAGAGCTCACTGCTGCCTGCGGGGAGAGGGCTGTGGGGAGTCGTCCTCTCTGGCCCCAGCCCCGGGGCAGCCTGCCTGCACCCCAAACTCCTCATCCTCAGCCCTGCTCCACCCCAGAGCCCGCAGCCCCAGCCAGAGCTCTCACCCCCCCTGCACCCCAACCCTCTGCCCTAGTCCTGAGCCTCTCCAACACCCCAAACCCCTCATCCCTGGCCCCAGCCAGAGCCCTCATCCCCTCCCCATACTCCAACCCTCTGTCCTAGCCCTGAGCCCCCTCCCACACCCCTCATCCCCAGCCCTGCATCCCCTCCCTCCACACCCCCTCCCATCCCCAGATTCCCTCCCAGAGCCTGCACCCCTCACCCTCTCCTACACCCCCAGCCCAGAGCCTGCACCCCAGACCCCCTCTCCCACCCAAACTCCCTCCCAGAGCCCAATCTCTCACCCCTTTTGCACCCAAACTCCCTCCCAGAGCCTGCACTTCTCCTGCACCCCAATCCACTGCCCCAGCCTAAGGGCCTGCACCCCAGACCTCCCCCCCCAAAACTCCCTCCCAGAGCCTTAGGCAGGTCGGGGTGGAGTTTGAGGGGGAGGGTTCTGGGCACTACCAACATTTCTACAAACCTGCCATCCCATTGACAGGGGTTAAAAAGTGGCAAAGGGGGCGAATTGGAGGAGGGGGGTGTCCAGGGTCTGAGCAGGGGGGTGGAAATTTGCTGGGCAGGGGGGTCAAGCAGCTGGAGGCACCATTAGGAGATGGGCTAAATGGCAAAATCAGGAATGGGGGGGAGGATCAGGAGTTAAGTTTGGGGGGGAGGCACTGGCAGAGGGTGTCAGAGGCCAAAACCCGGCACAGGGGGTAGCAGTTACCTCAGTGGCACTGAGCCACCAGTGCTTTGCAAAATAGTTTGTTGGGGGGGGTGAGAGGCTTTTTTATTTGAGCAAAGTGGCTTTTTTGTATGGTCACGTGAACTGAGCATGCTCAGTAGCATCTGCTGAAGCCACTGCCCTTCACCCTGCCCTTATTAGCTGTAAAAATCTGCTGATTTACAGAGGTTAAAAGGGGGCAAAGGGGGAGAATTGGAGCAGGGGATGGCCAGGATCTGAGCAGGGGGCAGAAATTGACTGGGCAGGGGGGTCAAGCAGCTGGAGGCAGCATTAGGACAGGGGCTAAAGGGCAAAATCAGGGATGAAGGGGGAAGGAGCAGGATTTAAGCTCGGGGTGAGGCGCTGGCAGAGGGTGTCAAAAGCCAAAACCTGGCACAGGGGGTAACAGTTACCCCGGTGCGACTGAGACACCCAAGTTTGCCAAAATGGAGGGGGGCAAAGGTTTTTTTTTATTTCCTCCTCTCACAGACAGCACCTCTCAGCATTGGCTTCCCAGGGCTGGGTTCTTAAAGGCGACAAGGGGATTAGCTCCAAGCACTGTGAGCTGAGCCTGTCCACACTAGCGCTTTAAAGCACTCAAACTTGCTGCGCTTGGAGGATGGGGTGATTTTTCACACCCCTGAGCCAGCAAGTTAGAGCGCTTTCACTTGCCAGTGTAGATAATCCCTGAGACTTAATTCAGTGAAACATTTTACATATATCCTCTCAAAAACAAAGAATCCCTTATCACTGTATCTGAATGCATAGAGTCTCCAAGCAGTTTCCCAAGTTGTCTTATCTGCTGCTGGGATTCCCTGAATTCCCTGAATTTTTAATTCTAATTTTTTCTTCGCATTTTTAGAACAGATGTGTATTTTGTTGGATCATCTTACTTCCACTCTGACTGAATATTGGTGGTCAGACCAATAGTCCGCCTAATCTAGTATCCTGTCTTGTGTCATTGAACCATCCCATTGTCCACTCCCAGCATCTGGCAGTCAAAGGATGGTTTAGGGACACGTAGAGCATGGGCCTGCATCCGATTATCTTGGCTAATAGCCAGTGTACTTATCCTGAGGGACTGATCTAATTCTTTGTTCAACCCATTCATAGTTCTGCCTTTCAAAATATAATGAACACACATCTACAACCCCAAGATACCTTTACAACCACAAGAATTCTAAAATCATGAGTTATACACCTTCGAGTCAAGAAATTTTAATAAATAAATGATATATTTTTTTATGTGCCTCTTTGTTCCTTACCCTGTAGGGTGCGATAAGGCCGCCAGTTCCAATGCCTTGAGCCTAAACACCTGAATGAATCTTAGTCTACCCTCATACTCCCAAACATTTAATATACCTAACCCACACTTAAAGTGTAGCTACGGCCTTAACTCAAGTTATGTCACCATAGAGTCACTACGGTTACTATGTCACTTGTGTGCATGCCTCCTGGACTCCTTGTTTCAGCAGTCAGGGTACTCACCAGAAGCACTTGTATCAATTCAGAGTGAGGTGCACCATGAATCGATATCCCACTGTATTTTGGGAAGCTTTGGTTTGGCAGTGTATGCTGGGTACTAAACAGGTCAGACAGGAGTGGTTGTGGCCATCAGATCCAACTTCTTATAATGCATTGTTAACCATTCACTAATGTTATATGTATCCCATACATAAATATATACATTATGTTTTCACCTTTTTTTTCTAAACCCACAAATCTGCCTGGCCCTCCTCACTGTCTGCCATCTCACACAGAATCATTGAGCTTGCATGGCTCTGCACTATTGTCATGAGCCTTTCAACCCAAAGGTGCATGGTCCTTTACTATTTGCAGATCAGCAAATGTACATGTACATATACTCTACATTCTTTATGAAAATATGCTTATGATATGGATATGACATAGCTAATATATACTTTATGCAAGATGGCTGATGTGGGGTATCATTGCAAAACTTAAGACCTATTGACTGTATTTATCCAATCTGTATGCAAGTAATGTTTGTATCTGAGGCTAGAAATATTGACCATTTCTCTGTATTTCAAATGTGCTCTATTTAATGAGGCCAGACAATGTTAGTGGCTTATTGAAGGAATGCACAAACACATAAAGATTACCCCAGGAACTGTGCCTCTGAACGATAGTGCTATACAATGGGGACTACTTGACCAAGATCAGATACCTCTACACAGTGGTTGCTGTTTGACCCAGGTCACAGCAAAAGAGCCTTCCAGAAAGTGGGGGGAAGAAAGCCTACAAGAACAACCAGAAACACGTGAGGTACAAAGACTGAACAGTGAGAAGTGATTGTCCCAGCAATCTGGATGATGGGAAGATAGACACTTCAGCTCAGCATACTGAGAATGAGAAGGATCTGACATTACCAGCCACTGAAGAATAATCCATGTGTGTATAATATATCTTTTGTCCCCATCATGCAGACATAGGCCTTTTTCTCACTGCTAATAAAACTAATGAAAACAGTTTAACAGTGAAGACAAAGGCTAAAGAAAATGTCTCAAAAATTAAATGAGAGTGCAATGAGGTGACATGCAAGTCCATAGTTCTGAGTGTAATTTTTGTGATGATACCTCTTTGCTCCTTATGTGTGTAAGAGTGACAGAAGTGGAAGTCTGTATAAAGCACAATGGTAGATTTTCTGCCTATGAGCTTGCTTTCCAAAGGAATTAAGTATTTCACATACTATTTATAATGCTTTTAACTACTCTCAATGTTTTGTGTGCATTCAATTTTTTGTTATTAAGAGACTGTATGACATACTATGCAGTGGAAAGGGACTAATAAAGATTTCTTTTTGAATGTTCAGACTTTCATTAAGGGTTTTTCATGCAATAGCCATGAAATTCCACTTGCAAAATGTTTTTTAAACAGTCCTGAAAATAGAGGAATGTGAGGAATATCTGCTTGGTTCTCTCTACTCCCAAAATGTGTTTGGTATCAAGTGTTTGTCTAATGGCTATTTTGAGGATGGCGACTAAGCATCTTTTCATACAACAAAAGTGTCACTTAAGATTTCTTGAGTAATAAACATGTACATAAGGCTGTGACACTGGCCCTAAACCATGGTGGATTTAATTTAAGTGAAATTGATTTAAATCATAATTTAAATCACTAGTCAGGAAGACTCGATTTAATCATGGTTTTCTAGATAAAAGTGCATTCTTGTTGGTTGTTATAGCCTTAATATATATTCTTCACGACTCAGATATGTTTAATTTCTACGTACTATACTTTTTTAAACTGATTTATTTAGAAAACTTTTAAGAGTCGTTTTACAGCTCTATCAGAAAATGAATGTGTGACATTCTATACCTTGGTGGAGTGTACCCCATATTCCTCATTTTCATATAATTGTGATTTTACATATAAAGCATGTCTTGTAAGGTATCAGGGGAAAGGTTATACTCTGCTGAAAGTCATTTCTGTA